CCCTGCAATCTCGCAAGAGTGAAAAGGCATCACTAGGACTGCCAGGGATGGCAGCACATTCCCCACCCCCACAACTCCTCGTCTCTATCTCTCAGGCAAAAGGTAAGAAGGGTGGGGTGATACAGTACTTTTTAAATAAAAAAAAAATATATATAGCAACATTAATCTATCTCTTGCCACACACACACACACACACACAAGACCTCCAAACATATTTACACACACAGCACCCTCACACAGAACCCCTCACACACAGCACCCCTCGCACACACAATCACTCACACAGCACCCTCTCTCTCACTCACACAGCACCCTCTCTCACACACACACTGCACCCCTCACACACACACACAGCACCCTCACAAACACACACACAGCACCCCTCACACACACACTTCACACACAACACCCCCCTACACACACAAACCACTCACACCACCCCATCACACACACATAGCATCCTCAAACACACACACACAGCACCCTCACACACATACACAAACACACACAGAACCCCTAATACACAAATTACATTCCAGACACACTATATCCCTTACAGAACTCTGGATCATCTACACACACTAAATCCCTATATACACTCTGAATCCTCTATGCACACAAACACACAATATAAAGGAGAAATCTGTTATTGTTATTCCCAGAGGACGTATCCATTACACCTAAGACCTGTCCCCTTAAGGTTCTTAGGTGCGGTAGTTTTCCAGATTTATGGGACAAGTACTCCTCATATGTCCTTTTTCAGCACAGTATATGCATAGACCCTCTCTTCTCCGATGTTGTCTTTCTGCCTCGAACAGTCTAGTGACCCCCAACTGCATAGGTTCGGGTTTGGACTGTATAGAGAGGTCAGGAACAACCGGTCTGGAGAAATGAGGTGCTAATGGCAAAGCCATACATCTGGTTTTATTTCTGGTTCTGAGTCTATTATTAATTAGCATAATAAACGTAATAAACTCATTGAGTTTTTTGGGTAGTTCTTTGGCAGCAATCTCATCCAACATAGTCTCAGATAATCCTTTTTTAAATGCTGAGATTAATCCGCTGTTAGTCCAGTCTAACTCGGAAGCCAAGGTGCAAAATTATTTGGCATACTCCAAGATAGACCGGTTCCCTTGTCTAATATGCATTAGCGCTGTGGAGGCGTCATCCTCCCAGCCTAATGGTTCAAATGTAGGTTTAAATTCCACAAGGAATTCCTGGTAATTGTGCGCAATGCTACCACTACTCTCCCATAATGGATTGGCCCAAGCTAAAGCTTTACCTTTAACTGGGTTCATCAGGTAACCAATTTTAGCTCTGTCAGTGGGAAAAGATCCCGGTGAGGCCTCAAAATGATACTCAATTTGGTTAATAAATCCCTGGCATTCTTGAATATTACCATCAAAATGCAGGGGAGGAGATAGGGAGATTGTAGGTGCCTTATGTACTACAGGAGGTATATTAGGCGGAGGTGACACAGTTGGAGAAGCCGCAGGTTGCAGATGCGTTGTTCGAGTAAGGAGCGTACTGAAAGCCTGGGCAAACTGATCCATACAGTGATCATTCTCCACTAGCTTTCTCCCTATGTGCTGACACAATTCTACAGGATCTATGGCCATGTCGTAATGTCAGGATTACTAGTTGATCCAGCACGTAGAATTGTGTCACATAGATGACTAATAGGTAACGTATTCCCGGGCCTTAAAATGGCCAGAATTAACGTACCAAAGAATAGTCAGCATACTTGCCGAGGTCAGGGGATACAGAAAGAGACACAACGATAAGAGAAAGCCAGAAGTCAGGGATACAGAATACAGGGAAGTCAAAATCAAAGCCAAAGTCAAAAACCAGAAGAAACCTGAATTAGGAACGCGCTCTCGGACAACCACAAAGGAAACCACGACAGGGCACTGAGCAGGATGAGAACTGGGCCTAAATACCCCTCCTCTAGATCTGATAGGCTGCAACTGGCCTTTGACCCCAAAGGCAGTTACCAGGTTCCCATTTGCATAATTGCTGCTCAGCATTAACCCTTCTGTGGATTTGGTTGCTGCTCGGCACAACTTTTCCTGTGTGGACAGTAAATGCTATTAACCACATTTTTATAAGCGGATGAATACGTGACACTTGCTTCCTGTCAGCCACAGAGGAAAAACCTGGAATGCATCTGCCTCAGTTGCCGCAACTGAACTGGAGTCTTCTGGAGCTCTTCCACCCTGGAACAGGGTATTGTGATATGGATGGGTGGGGATGGACAATAACAAGGGCTGAGGACCGCATGTAAGATTTAAGGGAATGGTAAAACAGCCATATTGAACTAGCCTGGAAGGATCTTTGGAAAAATAGGGCAACAAGGATAGTGGGGATAAAAAACTAACAAACAAATACACACCTTATAGCTATACAGGAACAGGATAACTAAAAGGTAAGAGAAATCTGGGGAACTAAATTAAGTGTCCATCTTCATGCTCTCAGTGATGGTGACTACCGCCACAGAGATGTTCTGACTTTCAGAAGCCATGCCAATGCTGCTGATGGTGGATTTGGAAGCATGAACCTTTCCACTACTCTCCCTCAATTTCAGATTGGCATTGATGATGGTGGGTTTCTGTGACGAACTGAACCTCGTCATTGGTTCTTGGAGGAGCCTGCTGGCCAGCCTCTTACCCTGTGACTATGGCTCCTGCAATAGACCTGGCTAAAATACTTTAAAATGCTCTGTTCATGTGAAGTATGTACTTTTGTACTCCAAGCAGAGAGACCAACCATTAGCACTAATTCTCTGGAACTGTTTTGGGCATGGGACCATGTGCACGGTCGGTCAAAAATAAGACTTCCAGGAAAGTCCTGAACCCCTGACCTGATCTGGATGATTTTTGGATATATTGGTCACCCAGATCAGGGCTATCAGGGGATGTAACATGGTGTTTTATGTATTTTATGTATTTTTAGGGTGCTTTTGGGATGTTTTAAAAAAAAGTATGTTTTTTCTGTGCTTGGAGATAATTAGATTAGAATTAGTACAGTTACTGATCCAATTATCTCCCAAGCAGAGTGGAGGGATTGTGTGCTGTGTGTGGGAGTGTTGTGCCTTGTAACCTTATTGTTATTTGTCTGTGAAGTTGCAAATCAGTCCCCCACAAGGTCCCTGGGGGCGTACCCCTTGCATGGGGATTGTCATATAAGGCCAAGTGTGGCTCCCATTAACAGAGATTCGTTTACCCCTTCATGAAGTTTTGGCTCATGTTTGGGGGATTGGAGAACTACATTCACTCTGGGGATTGCTATAATCACAATACTAAGAGCTGTTTCTGTTGCGCTCTGTGGACTAGGAGAGGTCTACCCACTGGAAGCTGGATCCTGGTGTTGGGTCCAGAGTAAGAGGAGGACAGCGAGACCCCAACAAAGCTGTGGCAGTTCATGAGCTTTACGGTGGTTATGATGTTCCAGTACCGTGCTTATGGTGCTCGCAAGCAGCAATTGATGTAGGTACCCGGTGGGGAAGTCAGGCGGTCCATCACAGTTTCCTTTTCTTATTAGAATAAATTAGGTAAGGTATGTGAATGAGTGTGTATTGTGGAAAATAACACAACCTTATTCATCAAAACTAGGTGTTTGCCATTTGTGTTGTGAAATGGATTAGTGCTTGGTGGATTTATTGCTCTAAAGTTTTGCTTCACATTAAGAAATACTGCAGTGTTTGCACACCTGCACAACACACACTGGACTGAACACAGTCAGAAAAATCACAAGATTTTCTTTGTCCAAACAGATAACAAAAATAATAATGACTTTTAATATTGTATATTAGTAATTTAGTCTCACACTAAAATTAATCATAAGGCAGAAATGTTTTCTTCCTAACACCACAAAATATTAAAATATCAAAAAATGTATCACATAAAAAATATATCTAAATATTAAAATGTTTTTCAAAATATTAAATAATTTTAAAAGTTAATACAAAAATATGAAACCATTTGAAAAACGTATCCGAAACTATTAAATCAAGGCTGTATATTGGTAAGCTAGGATTGTAATATCTTGCACTTCTTCCTTTCTTCAGTTGATTGATATATACGTCTTTTGTATATATCGTCTTGGGTCAAAGGCTTACGTCTATATTAATGAAAAGAACTAATACGCAATCTGACTTACGGTTTCTTCAGGTTTATTCTTACTGATACATAATAAAACAAAGGATGCTACATGATCATGGATGTTCAACAGCAGATAGTAATTCCTGGACTCCTGAAGGGAGAGTTACATCGTTACATAGCTGTATAGTAAGTAGAGCAAAGAGAGAGAGACCTTGTGTTCCTTTGTTCAGTTACTATATAGATGTGCCCATACTGATGTCAGAGTGTTACTCTAGCCATATAAGGACAAGACCCTCAATCCACATTCCAGAGAGCTCATACAAGAAAACCTTGTCACTTATTGATACCATCTGTTACTTATGTCAATCCAGACATCCATAAATAATCAATAGAAACATAGAATATGCAATATTCTACAAGGATCAATTACAAAATGCTTGATAAGTGCCAAGCTTATATATTCCACTCAAAGATTTTCAAATGCTCCAAGCAGCACTAGCTGTTAGACACAGCATAAAGCAAAATTTAGTCTCACAGCAGAATCAATGACTCAGACTCCCACTCCAACACAGGCACAACCAGGGTAACACACACAGGATCTCTGCCAGCCTGTCTGCCTCCCTAGAAGTATAGTTGGCGTGTGTGTGTGTGTTTGTGATATATATGACATTATAGACCACAAAGAAGTATTTCACACGTTTGCAGATATTTTAGGGGGATACTTTTGCAATACATTCACATATACAAAATAATAACTGAATAATGAAGACATTATGAAGACATGTTACAGAACACTGTTACTTTTTAAAATACTTTATGAAGGTTTCATTATTCAAGAGCTGAGTGAGCAGTGCATCAAACTCAAATTCCTTTTTAACAGTTTATACAGTTGTTCCTTCATCATGACATGTGAAGATAATATGCCCAGTAGAACACATTTATTATCAGAAATACAAGCGGGAAAACCACCCTGGAATAACGATCGATATTCTCTGGATTTTTCACTGTAAAAAAATCTTTGAAGAAATCTTTTTTCTCTTTGATTTTCATCCAAAAAGTCTGTGAAATGTTGACTGTTTTGACATAGCTTGATTCAGAGTTTTTTTGCATTAGAGTATTTTCTTGGTTTTCAGTTAAACTCAGTTCCTTAGAAGTACTTTTGATAACAATTTCAATGTTGTCATCAGGTTTTTCCTCAGGATGCTATTGAAAAGAAAAAATTCAAATTATATTTACACTTTGACGAACAGTAATTATTTTCATTTAACTAACATTATATGTGTTCATCGGTGCAACCTCTAATACAGTAGTTCCTAATGTCTACTCAGCAAACCAATTCCCAGAATACCATAGGAACTGGGGAAGTGTAACAAGATTAACCAGGTGCCCAAATATTAAGCAGCTTCTGTGACTGCACTAATGTAACACCCACCTTGGGTCCATTCTACCTCTTGCCACTTCCTACTTGATTTGCATTTCAACTTTCTCAAGTTGGGTAAATCTTTCCTATCACACTGATACATTGTGTTCATTGCGAGGGCATTGCCACTAGAGCATAGTGACATATTTTACTCCATTTATATCACATTAGCAAAGTACAAGATACTCTTCATTAGAGATGTACAGATGACAAAATGTGTTTCATTTAGTTTCAAGTCATTCATTTTCTAATTGCTTTTTTTCCAAAATTCTGAAATAATTGATTTGAAATTAAACAACATTCAGAAAAAGTTCACAAATTAGCACAAAGTTTTCCACAGATGTACATTAACCTCCCAATGCTTCCCTATGAGAAAGAACTGGATTGGCTGAGATTATCAAAATTGTGGGCAGAGCCAGCCGCGAGGAGACCTGTGCGATGCAGGAAAAAGGTGAGCAAAATACCTTTTACTCAGGGGAGCAAAGGGACAGGGAGCTAAATGGTGTTTTACACCAATAGTGTCAGGAATACATGTTTGTATTTCTGACACTATAGTGGCCCTTTATAGATACCAAATTAGGGAGCTACCTGATAAACAGCACCCTCATTTGATATCCCTAAATATTGAGATCCCACATAAGTGTACCAAATTTGGGAGCTGTTGTGTTTAGTAGATAGCTTTCTAATTTGGTATCCTTACAATGGAAATCTCACATAAGGGTGTCATATTAGGGAACTATCTACAACACAGCTAAGAGACCAAAATTAAGATTATTGTGCACTTTCAATTGCTTAGTAGATAAATCCTTAATTTGGAACCCTTATTTATGGCAATCCCACATAGGAAATTAGGGAGCTATCTACTAAACAGCTTAAAAAGCAAAATTAAGAAACAGACCTTCTTCTTACATAAGCTGTTTCAATTGCTTAGTAGATATGTTGCTAATTTGCTATGCTTATGAAACCTCTGGAACCAAAATAAGTTATATCAATTTGTTCAAAATTTCTTGTTTTTGGTTAATTTCTTCTTTGTGAAGAATTCAGAATTCAGAGGCTTCAGAATTGCTGAAATTGGATACATTTGGACAAAATTTGATTCAGAACAAAAACGTCTACTTTTCATAGAAGAATAAGCAATGCAGCTATAGTTCCTATGTTGCATTTGCTGGGACAGAGAACAGGATAATTCCTCTAGAACTCTCTGCCAAAAATGCTTAATGTAGTTGTTCAATACTCTGAAGGCATCTTGCTGTAAACATTGCTTTTTCAGAGAATAGGCAGTGTTTACATTAGTGCCTAGGAACACATCTACTTAGATGGCCACTAGAGGTGCTTCCTGCTGAAAACTGCATGGAGACACTGAACTCTCCCCATAGAGTTGCACTGAATCAATGCATCTCTATGAGGAGATGCTGATTGGATAGGGGGCGTTTGGCACCGCCCCGCTTCCTTGCTTGAGATCATCAGAATGAACAATCTCAGCCAATCTAATGCTTTCATATGGGACCCCTGAGGTTCTGGAAAAATGTGAGTTTTTAACTTATTTAAGGTCGCAAGGGTGTGCCAAGGATTCTACATGTGTTTTAAACACTATAGGGTCAGGAATACATGTTTGTTTAAAGGAACACTGTAGGGTCAGGAACACAATCTATACATTTGCTAGCAGATTTGCTATAACAACATAATTTATAATAACAATAATAATATAATTTATAATAAGCATTTCAATTCAAACACATTCAATATATGTTCTATATAATGAGATATCCCTAGTGAGCTATAGATATTTTAAGTATCAGTGTTTTTTTTTAGAAAGGATTCATTCTCACATTTCTTCTGACTATGTACCTGTCTTGAATCTTTGATTGAAGTTTTTTCCTCTTCAGAACAATAATGAGCTACAGCATATTCTAACAGGGCACCAAACACAAAAGTAAAACAGATTCCGAGGTAAACATCAATTGCTTTTATGAAGCAGTTGGCAGTTGGTAAAGTTGATCGTGAACCCATTAAAATGGTAGTCATGGCTAATACAGTAGTTACTCCTAAAATAAAATAATAATAATACAAAAATTACAACTAATAATAATAATGCAAATTTGGGATGTGTAATTATTATAGGATATTGCTAATATTTTACTGTTTATTCTTCATGTTCTTAACATATCAAAACAAATAATGGCTTATTGCAGTCCAGTGAAAAGTTTATTTAGCAATGTATTACACCATTATCATAATTTTTAAAAATCCATTTGTTCATTAATGAATATCATGAGAGAGAATCAAAATACATTAACTTACTATAGCCATGAAGATACAGTTAACTAAACACAAAGGTGAAAACAGAAACAAGAGAAAGATGATATCAAATACAGTATTTTTTAGATAGAATCAAAATTGTATAAAATAAATTTATTTTTATTTGATTAATAGTGTGGATGAATTCAAGAAAGCAAGGGAGTCATGTCTTCATGCATATGATGGTTCTTAACAGACTTGGATATTTGTTTTGGGCCGAAATGCAGTTCTTCCGAATTGTGTTTACTCTTGTTGTGCCTGTCTTGGAGTGGGAGATAGCCTGGGTTATTTATTCTTAGGTTTAGCTTTATCTGCAGTATCTAGCTAACAGCTACTGCCAGGAGAATGGGAAATAACTTGCAGTGGGAGATGAGTTTGACAGAAAGAAAAGTACTCTTTTGGTTAATGTGGTGTTCAGTAGCAAATTCATTTATTCTAGTGTGAGACTAGATTTAGCTTTCTGTTGTTTCTGGCTAGCAGCTACTGAAACAGAGGCATTTGAAACAACGTTTTGGGAGATATCACATTGGCAGGCTTTTTGTTAATATTCCTAGGGTGAGACTAGGTTTTTTAAACATTTTTCTTTTTGTTTGTTAACTTTGTGGGGACTCAGTGCTATTCACTAAACACCAGACTTTGTCAGATAAAATCCGGTGTAAATTGCAGAATTCTGACCGCATTGACAATTTACAGGTTTACTAAAGCCAAATGCAGTCAGGATCCGGTTGGTCCGACCTATTCTCTAGCATTCTTTTGGAACCACTTGAAAAATCACATCCAACAGGATGCATATCTGCAAATTATCATTAAGATCTCTTGACACTTGGCTGTCAGAGTGCGCTGATTGCTTACCTTAGTAGCCAATTAATCAGAGAGCTCTTGATCATATTGCAATGTGTGGGAAATTTTGCTATCGGAGCTCACTCCGCGATGATGGGTGAAGATGGATTTATTTCCATTGCCCTGTTTTTGTTTTTTTTGCAATTGGGTTTTATTTTTTTATTTTAGTTAGTTAATTTGGCCTTTTTGGGGGCTGATGTTAAGAAGAATTAGAAGAAAGAATACTTCTGATGGTAAGTATATATATATATATATATATATATATTATTATTTTTTTTTTTTTTAACAGGTTTAGATTAATTGAGTCCCTCACTATTATTTGGCTGAGGGGTATGGGTATGGTAACTTGCTTTTACTGGGGGTGGCTAGGGGAATTGGGTGCCCATAGACAACCCGGGGGAACCAGGGGGAAGGGTGTCCATTATTTGGTCGGCATTATTTGGTGGGTACATGCTATTATTTGGCGGGGTGGACAATGATAAGTCCAATGAGTGGAAGACCCCATTGATATTAGTGTACCATCCATCCAATACCCATGGGTGGAAGCATGTGGTTAATAGTAGAACCCAGTGGACTCCAGGTAAGAAGTCAAACTGGATGGGTGACTTCAGGCACTCCTGGCACCAGGTCCACTACAACATGTCATTGTGGTTATGGTGAATGGAGTGTTCCTTTTAAGTGAATTCAGAGTGAAATTCAAATGTTAGACCAAAATAAGCAAAACAAAAAAACACAAGGTTACCTTTTTTCTATTATAATTGTAATCTCAAAAATTTAATTATTGGAAGTGACTTGGACAATTTACAGTTTAGAGAATAACAATGAAATTATTTAAAGCTCAAGAATCTGGACTCACACATATTTTCTTGTTTTATACCATACCAAAGCATGTTCTTGCTGGAACTGAAGACATAGAAATCCAGAAAGATATCCATGATAGAATAACCAGCAATGTTGAAGGAACATATGTCTCCAAAATAAAGTAGATCATATTTCTTTGAAGTACAAAATACAACACAAGCCTGGTATATTGGCCTTGAAGAAACAAAGAAAATATAGTTAATTTAATATTTGGTAATACAAATACAAAAAGATATGTCCTGCGCTCACGCCCATCACTCCTGGGAGGCAGCAATGACCACAGTACACATCAGCCCCAATATATACAGTAAAAAAACAAAGAAAAAGTTACCTGTGTTCTCTCCTGAATCCCTATGCATATTTAAACAAATGGAGGTCATTTAGTTGCTCCAATGGTCATTGGAAGGAATGCCCGCCTGCCAACGTCAATGCAGACCCCCCCCCCAGGCAGGTCCTACACTGACCTTTCACCTTGCTTCCTTGAGCTTCTGGCAAAGATATTTCTAATGAGACAGAGAGGGGTATTTTTTTATATACACCCCTATATACTTATATACTTAATAGGGAACACTGGGATGGGCGGCAGCATTGTAACAAAGCTGTGTGATACAAAAAGTGAATACAAATACAAAAAGATAAGTAATGCACTCCCTCCCAGGGGTGCAATATATGTGTATGTGAGGGGTGCAGTGTGTGTGTGAGGGTGCTGTGAGTGTGAGGGGTGAAGTGTGTGTGTGAGGGTGATATGTGTGTGTGTGTGTGTGTGTGTGTGTGTAATGTGTGTGGGTGTGTGGGTAATGTGTGTGTGTGGATAATGTGTGTATATGAGGTGTGAGTGTGATGTGTGTGAGGATAATGAGTGTGTGTGAGAATGATATGTGTGTGTGTGAGGGTAATGTGTGTGAGAGAGTGTTGTGTGTGAGAGTGGTGTGTGTGAGAGTGATGTGTGTGAGAGTGTTGTGTGTGAGAGTGATGTGTGAGAGGGTTATGTGTGTGAGAGTGATGTGTGTGAGAGTGATGTGTGTGAGGCATTATATCCCAGGCTAAAGGTAAGAAGGGAGGGGGGGGAACCATGCTGCTGCCATCCCTGGTGGTGCTAGTGGTGAGTGAACTCTAGCCTGTGGGATTAGAGTTCACTCTCGCAAGATTGGGGCATTGCCATGGCAACGCTCTGGATCTCGCGAGCGGAAACCGGCAGAGCTGCAAGATAGAGTTCTGCCGAGGTCCTCCTCTCCATCCCTCCCCAGCCACATGCCTGTGCAAGTGGGCCGGCTGCAGGGCCAGCACTCAGATAGCGTGGTCCCTGTATGGACCGGATGGGGAGGTCCTACGACCTGTGCCCGATGGCCATTTCGGGCCTGGTTGCTAGGATTAAAAAAGACCCAGAGTTTAAGCCCAGAACTTGGTGACCCCTCCCCAAAGCCCCACCTATTAACAACTGCAAGATACGCCTCTTCCAACACTCACCGATACATGCATATCGACACACACTCACACTTAGAAACATAGGCACAAACTCAGTAATCTAAGTACAGACACAACACTCACAGAAATATACATAAAGCCATAGATGCACAAACACACACAAGTGCACAAAGGTGCACATAGACATGCACAAACACGAACACCAATACATGCAGGCACATTCATGTATACACAGGTACACACAAGCACACACACAGACAGTCATGCACTGACACAGAAAGGCACACACATACACAGACAGGTACACACAGACATGCACTGATAAGGATACATTCAGAGACAAAGACACATATACACAGGTACAAACACACACAATATAAAAAATTATACCATGGGGGGAGGTTGGCAGTGGCAGAGATTTAAATATTTAATGCTGGTCTGGCCTGTCTGCCAGTTGGTCTCCAGCAAGACATGGGATTGTAAGCAGCGCATTGATAAAGTCACAGGGATAGGACATCGTATTCTCCATGTCTGAAAACTGTGACCCTAGTTTCATTGGGCTCTCAGGCAGCCCGGAACTCCAGATTCCTAGTTGTATACTGTTTTCTCCTGCTGCTCTCCCTGCTCATTCTGCTCCATGAGTCTTTTCAGCTCCCAGGCAAAACCCACTGAGCAGACTGAGCAGGAAGAGCAGCACAGAACTGGCAATTCTTCTCTATGGAAGAGGTTCAGGGAGCCCTATATCCACAAGGATCACCTACCCCAGTCGATGTGCATCTATGGCAATATGATAATATCGGCAGATGGTCAAATGGTTTATAGAAGTCTCCAGAACTCTGAGATGTCTAGTGGGATTATGGAGCATAAAGAGAGAATGAATTCCAGAGACTCCAGAACTTCAAGATGGCATTATTTCTCCTTATACATGCTTCACTGTTATGTATCATTTATATTCATTCATTTTATTTTATTTTATTTTTTAGCATATTTTTATTTAAATTATTTTGCTTATACATTTAACATAATAATAAAACATATCTATTTATCTGTCATAGGTGAATAAGTACATACAGCCAACACAAAATATAACACTTAGCCATGACGTCAGGGGGGGGGGAGATAACTAAGGGAGCCACTTACTAGATAATACAATATAATCGCAAAATCAGTAACCCTTAGCCTACCTTGTAATTGTATCTGTTTTAATTGTCAGCTAGAAATTGAGTTGCTTTCTAAGTTGATACCAAGATGGTGATTCTGAAGATTCCCAGTTTCTCGCTATAAAATTTTTTTGTTGCTATTATACAATGGATAAAAAAGAATACCACTTTTGTTTGCCAGAGAGTGAGTTTTAGATGGAGTAGAGATGCACTTGGTGATTTTGTAATTTGGAAATTTAATACTAGCTTAAAATATTCTACAGTCCTTTTCCAGGCTGGTGATAAATGCCCCTTAGGTGTTATTACATCTCCAACAGGTGGGTGACTGTGCTGTTGACATTTTGGCCAATCTGGTAGGGACAGGGTACCATCTGTTTAATATTTTAAATTGTGTCTCCACTAAGTTAAGACAGTGAAATTAACAGTTTACTTTTTTAAAAGGCGGTGTGCCACTCTTCCGTTGAGATATCAAGGGTAAGTTCTCTCTCCCATATCAGGCAGACCGGAAATTTATCTAGAACATTTAGCGATGTGATGATAGACAGCTCTTTTGAAGTTACTTTATCAACTGGCTTTTGATTAAATATTTCTATGATTTGTTTTGTTAGTTCTGAGCTAATATCCATGATGTTATGTTGAATAAAGTTTTTTTTTATTCTCAGGTGAGTAAAGAGTTCTTTTTTAGGTAACTGATAATTCAATTCAATTTGAGGGAAAGAGATTATTTTGTCTTGAAACACAATTTGATTGATTGTAATGATCCCTCTTTGGGTCCATTTACTTATGTCTATGTCTGTTATATATTTTTCTAGGTGTTTGATTTTAAGGTTAGTTGTTATCCTGTTTAGAATGCTACCCAAACTCCTGAATCTTTCCCATGCTTCTAACATTGAATACAAGCATGAGCTCGCTGCCTTGGCCTCTCTAATTTTTGTATGTGTATTATGGAACCAGAGCAAAGAGATGAAATCTACCAAGTTGCAAATCTACATTTCTACCAGATACCAACCTTCCTCTGTAGTCTCTTTTAATTGGAGTCTGTATATATGGAAGATGGTGTTAGCCCAATAAACTTTTATAATAATTGGAAATCCGAGACCACCCTCCTTAATACTTTGAGCAAGCAGGTTTTGTTTTAATCTTGGTCTTTTGCCTTTTCATTTGAAGTTAGTTATGCTATTTTGAATTAGATCTTGCCAAGGCTCTGGAAGTTTTAAAGGTAGCATTCTAAATAGATAAGACTATTTGGTACACTCTATGAATTTATGACATGTATCTTCCCCCACCAAGATATTTGTAAATTTTTCCATGTTTTCAGGGATTGGTTCATTTGTCTTAAGAGAACGATAAAATTAGTTTCCATTATGTTGTCTAAATGTTTTCTAAGCTTAATACACAAAATTTTTGTAAGCTTAATACACAAATCTGTACTGATCCATGAGAAGTTGTATAGGTGCTTTATTTGATCTATTGTCCTAAAGACTAAGGCAAGATCCAAAATACTAGTTTTATTTTTTATTGATCTTGCAGTTAGAAACTAAATTAAGAGATGAGACAGGGTCAGTTAGGGCTATCATGGTATCTGTCATACCTGGTGTCCCGCGTCGTCCCGGTCCCGCTGTCCGTCCTCTCGTCTCGGGCAGTGTGGATCACTGGCGGGCGTCGTACGTGCGTTTTCTCATGAGGGAATGCCGGTGTTGGATGAACACTTATCCACTGTACATGACACTTGAAGAATAGTTCATGCCATCTTGGAGAAGACTATGCTTACTCAAAAAGCCTTTGCGGATAGGCACCCTAGGGCGGCACCTTCTTATGTTGCTGGTGATAGAGTTTGGTTATCCAAGACCATTAACAGTCCCCTATGTTACGCATCAAACCAAGACTGTTATTTTATCAATAGGCGCTACCCATAAAGAGAAGTTGTCTTTCCAGGTCATTTCTTCCCCTTTTTGCCCTTTGGTTCTTGGTTTTCCATGGTTACAAAAACATAATAGAAAAGAATGTGAATACAGTTATGATAGAAAAGAATATACAAGGGTTACCCCCTAGAAAGTTCTGCTTACACACTCTAGTTGGGATTTTCAGCACCTAGGTGCCTTCCCTTCTTTCTACTTTTTTATTACAAAAACATAACCCTGTTATTGACTGGAGAGAAAGTCAAATTCTGTCTTGGAGTACTTCCTGTAATAGTTCATGTTTAAGTCAGGTTAAACCCCTTTGTTCTCTTAATGTTCAATGCTCTTCCACTTTCCACTAACGTACCGCCTCAGAACCAAGAACTGGGGAAGGTCTTTGATAAAATACAGGCAGACCGTCTTCCTCCACATAGGCCTTATGATTGTGCTATCAAACTCCTCCCTGGTACCATGCCCCCCAAGGTTTACCCTCTTTCTCAAAATGAAAATAAGGTTATGGAGGAATATGTACAAGAATCCCTAAGTAAGGGGTTTATCAGACGTTCCTCTTCCCCTGCAGGGGCTGGCTTCTTTTTTGTGGCCAAAAAGGAGGGGGATTTGCATCCCTGCATAGATTACAGGGGTCTGAATAAGATTACTCTAAAACATGTGTATCCTATACCGCTGATAACAGAGCTCTTTGACAGGCTTCGTGGTTCTAAGGTCTTTACGAAATTAGACCTTAGAGGAGCCTACAATCTAGTTCGCATTAAAGAGTGAGACGAATGAATGACGGCATTTAATACTCGAAGTGGTCATTATGAGTATATGGTAATGCCCTTTGGTCTATGTAATGCCCCAGCAGTCTTCCAAGAATTTATCAATGATGTCTTACTAAATTATTTGCACACTTGTGCTATTGTGTATCTTGATGACATTCTTATTCATTCTCCTAATATTCAGATAAATCACCAACAAGTTAGAAGTATTTTACAGACCCTTCTTGCCAATGGCTTATATTGCAAACTTGAGAAATGTCTGTTCGATCAGACTTCTATTCTGTTTTTAGGGTATATAATTTCTACTGAGGGATTTCAAATGGACTCTAAAAAACTATCTTCTATTCTTGAATGGCCCTTACCCATAGGTTTGAAGTCCATACAGAGGTTCATTGGATTCGCTAACTATTATAGAAAATTTATAAAAGGCTTTTCCCAGATTCTAGCACCATTCACAGCTATGACCATAAGGGAGCTAATCATGTCAATTGGTCTGCGGAAGCCAAAGCTTCTTTCACTCTCTTGAAGAAATCTTTTGCCTCAGCTCCCGTCTTGGTACATCCAGACCCCTCTAGACCCTTCATCCTTGAGGTTGATGCCTCCGAGACCGGTGTGGGGGCTATCCTTTCCCAGAGCGAATACCCTACCGCTCTGTTGCATCCTTGTGGATTCTTTTCTCGTAGTCTGACACCTGCTGAAAAGAATTGATATCGGTAATAGAGAATTATTAGCCATAGTATCAGCCCTGTGGACCATTTGGACTTCTTCATCCTCTTCCTTTGCCGTTAGTTCCTTGGTCTCATCTGTCTATGGATTTTATAGTAGAGTTGCCACCATCTAAGGGTTTTACTGTCATTTTGGTTATAGTTGATCGTTTCTCTAAAATGGCGCATTTCGTACCTTTTAGAAAATTGCCTTCTTCTGCTGAATTAGCCAGTATATTCACCAAAGAAATAATACGACTACACGGAATGCCAGACGTCATTGTGTCTGATAGGGGTTCACAATTTATTTCAAAGTTTTGGAGGGGTTTTTGTAAAGACATTGAATGCGCCTTCTCTTCAGCCTACCATCCTCAAACGAATGGTGCTGCTGAAAGGACTAATCAGAGCCTTGAACAATATCTCCGTTGTTTTACGTCTCAACTCCAGGACAACTGGGCTGACCTTCTTCCTTGGGCTGAATTCGCCAGGAACAATGCTACGCACTCTGCTTCTGGTCACAGTCCCTTCTTTGTCACGTATGGTCATCATCCTAATCTTCTTCTGGCTTCGTTTTCTCACGAGGGAATGCCGGTGTTGGATGAACACTTATCCACTGTACATGACACTTGGAGAATAGTTCACGCCATCTTGGAGAAGACTATGCTTACTCAAAAAGCCTTTGCGGATAGGCACCGTAGGGCGGCACCTTCTTATGTTGCTGGCGATAGAGTTTGGTTATCTACGCGTTCCCTCAAGGAAGTTGGCTCCTAAGTTCATTGGTCCTTACAAGGTTTTGCGAAGGATCAATCCTGTTTCCTATGCTTTGGATTTGCCCAAAAACCTTCGTGTGCCCAACGTCTTTCATACGTCCCTCCTGAAACCGCTTATATGCAACAGTCATTCTCGTTCCCGACCTCGTCCTCCTCCAGTTTTGGTTCATGGTCAAGAGGAGTATGAGATCCAACATATTGTCGACTCCCGCATCTCCCGGGGTTCACTTCAGTACCTGGTTTATTAGAAAGGTTATGGGCCCGAGGAGAGATCGTGGGTTCCTGCTTCTGAGGTCCATGCGCCCCGACTCCTTAGGGCGTTCCATGCTAGTTTTCCTTCATGCCCTTCTGGTGTTCCTCCAGTGGGCGTTCCTTCAGGGGGGGTTCTGTCATACCTGGTGTCCCGCGCCGTCACGGTCCCGCCGTCCGTCCTCTCGTCTCGGGCAGTGTGGATCACTGGCAGGCGTCGCACGCCTCCGGGGGCGCGCGCACATCTGGGAGAGCGCCCAGGGACGTGCGCGCGCGCACAAGGTAGCCAGCAGGGATATCGTGGACTCCAAATTTAAAGAGATAGTGGCCTATTGCCACTATCTATTTATGCCTCATTCAATTCTGTCCCTGCCTATCAGCATTCACCTTGCCCTATATTAACCTCCTTCTGACATCACTTCCTTGCCCTGTTGTGGTTTATTCTAGCCTGAGAGTGCATTCTTAGTCTTTTCTCTGGTTCCTGACTTCGGCTTGTTTATTTGTTATTCTTATTTCTGGCTCCCTGACCATGGCTCTGTCAGAGATTCGTTTTCCCGTATCTCTGTATTCCTGACCTTGGCGTGTTTGACTATTCTTATCTCTCATTCCTATGTTAAGTCCAGCCACTTTAAGGTCCGGTAATACGTCTATCTGTGTTCGGCTTTATTGTTCTCTGGTTTGCGTGTTGGGGAGTATAACCTTGACAGTATCGTCAGCATATAAACTTATTCTCAGTTGTCTATGTAAAGCAAGGAAACCTTTTAACTCTATGTTTTTTTCTGATGTTAATAGCTAATGGTTCAATTGTTGATATCTACAAAATGGGTGAGAGCGGACAACTCTGTCTTGTGCCATTACAAAAAGAAACCCAGTCCTCACATATGTTTGGCTGTTGGTCTAGAACAGCGTTTCCCAATTGGTGTTCCGCAGACACAAATGGGGTTCTGCCGTGATTTCCCCAAACAAAATAGCCGCCGAGATTTTATTGCAAATCAGGGGCCAGGTCAGGTGTTGCGGCCCTTTAAGAGCACAACCAGGCTCCTGTAGTATTGGCAAGCTGGTAGGAAGTGATAGCACTTCTTCCCAGCTTCACAGAGTTGCTGCTGCGCGGCAGGGAGTAAAAAGGGAGGTGGCTCTGATGTATGTCATATTGTGTGTGTGTGTGTGTGTGTGTGTGTCTGTGTGTCAAGGTGTGTGTATGTGCCATTGTATATCAGTGTGTTTGCATGTGCCTTTGCGTGTGTGTATGTCAGTGTGTGTGTATCTGTGTGTGTCAGTGTGTGTATATAACACTGTGTGTATGTGTCAATGTGTGTATCTGAGTGTGTGTATGTGCCAGCATGTGTATATGTGGGTGCAAGTGTGTTTATATGTCACTGTGTGTATCTAAGTGTGTGTATTTGTGAGTCAAGATGTGTGTTTGTATGTCAGTGTCACTGTGTGTATGTGTATCTGAGTGTGTGTATCTGTGTGTCAAGGTGTGTATCTGTGTGCCACTATATGCCAGTGTGTGTATATTTGTGTCAGATACATATGCACACACAGATACACACTGACATACAGATGCACACACTGGCACATGCAAACACAATGCTGATACACTATGTCAAAGGGTTCCATGGGAAAAATTAATTGGGAACCCCTAGTCTAGAGTATAATGACTTATCATCATAGTTTTAACACTTAGCATTTGGGTACTGTAGGTGTTAATGCTTAGTGTTATCGTAGTGTAGAAGTTAAAGGGTTACTTAAAGCACCATGACCACTTTAGTGATTTGAGGTGGTCTTGGTGCCTTCAGTCTGTATGTGCAGAGTTTTGCTATGAAACACTATACACATGGAGATTAACATCTCTGCTGTAGATGTGCAACCCCAATTCCAGCAACATCATTAGAGCATTATTAGCCAGCCAGAAACAAAAGTGAATGTGAATTCTATGCAAATTTCGATTCTTACACCAGCACGAGCAGTATGCATGAGCTGTGGTGGGATGACTCCATCCTCAAAGCTAGACATGTCCTCAACTTAGCCAGCCCTCCCTGACATTTGTCTGTTCGTAAGCCCTTGCATGCCCTCCCCTTCTAATCTATTGTGCGCCACTTGAGTTTAGCTCTACTGAGCAAAGTAGCCAAAAAGTAACAAGATTGGTTGTCTAATTGACATCCAGGGAGATGTAACAAAATTAGTTCAAAAAGGTGCCACTTTCTATTGAAATCTGCAGTTTTATAAAATGAAAAAAAGAGGACTATCTCTTCACACAAGAAGAACTTCAGCAAGCATGCTTTAGGTGTCTGGAGTGTACCCTTAAAGTCTTAGTCTTTAAGTTTAATATATTCTATCTACTCTATGACTAGAGATTAATGGAAGAGGGGTTTTGGATATTGTTGCCCAGAGACAAGGTTTTTTTTTTACCCTTTTTGGGAAGCTTCAGAAGTGGGTAAAACTTGCATGAATACATACAGACGTTTAGTATTTCCTTTGATTTTTGTTGGGACGTCATAGGGCCTATATTCAAAAAGGGTTCAAAATCCTTGCCTGGAAATTATAGACCTGTGAGCTTAACTTCTGTGGCTGGGAAAATATTTGAAAGGTTATTAAGGGATAATATTCAAGAATTCCTTGAGAAGAACATGGTGATCAGCAAAAATCAGCATGGTTTTATGAAGCACAGGTCATGTCAAACTAACTTGATTGCGTTCTACGAAGAAGTAAGTAGAAGTATAGATCAGGGTGTTGCCGTGGATGTGATCTATTTGGATTTTGCCAAGGCATTTGATACAGTTCCACACAATAGATTAGTGTTCAAACTCAAGGAAATCGGTCTAGATGAAAATGCTTGTTCTTGGGTAGAACATTGGCTTAAAAACAGAGTACAAAGAGTTGTCATTAATGGTAAATTTTCAAGCTGGACAGAGGTGGCAAGTGGTGTCCCTCAGGGGTCTGTTCTGGGACCCCTTCTATTTAACATGTTTATAAATGATCTTGAAGACCGCATTGAAAGTCATGTTTCAGTGTTTGCAGATGACACCAAACTTTGTAAAACAATACAATGTGAGCAAGATATTACTTTGCTGCAGAGGGACTTAGATAGACTGGGGGACTGGGCACTCAAATGGCAGATGAAATTTAATGTTGAAAAATGCAAAGTTATGCACTTCGGCGTAAAGAATACACAAGCAACGTATACCCTTAATGGAAGCGAATTAGGGATAACAACACATGAAAAGGACTTGGGAATTGTTATAGACAACAAACTATGCAACAATGTGCAATGTCAATCAGCAGTGGCCAAGGCCAGTAAGGTATTGTCATGCATGAAAAAGGGCATTCATTCTCGGGACAAGAATATAATTTTGCCTCTTTATAAATCACTGGTAAGACCCCATATTGAATATGCTGTGCAATTTTGGGCACCTGTTCTAAAGAAGGATATTATGGCACTAGAAAAAGTGCAGAGGCGGGCTACAAAATTAATAAAAGGAATGGAACATATCAGCTATGAAGAAAGGTTAACAAATTTAAACCTATTTAGTTTAGAAAAACGTCGCCTGAGAGGGGATATGATAACATTATACAAATATATTCGTGGCCAATACAAACCATTGTGTGGAAATCTATTCACAAACCGGACTTTACATAGGACACGAGGCCATGAGTTTAGACTGGAAGAAAGAAGATTTCGTCTAAGGCAAAGGAAAGGTTTTTTTGCTGTAAGAACAATCAGGATGTGGAATTCTCTGCCTGAGGAAGTGGTTTTATCAGAGTCCATACAGATGTTCAAACGGCTACTAGATGCATACTTGCAAGAACAGAATATTCAAGGATATAATCTTTCAATGTAGGGTAATAACTGCTTGATCCAAGGATAAATCTGACTGCCATTCTGGGGTCAAGAAGGAATTTTTTTCCTAGTTTGTTGCAAAATTGTGCTTCAAACTGGTTTTTTTTGCCTTCTTTTGGATCAACAGCAAAAAACAAATGTGAGGTAGGCTGAACTTGATGGACGCAAGTCTCTTTTCAGCTATGTAACTATGTAACTATGTAACTATATAGGGCCTAATTTTTCAATACCCATCAGTGCTGTATTTAGGACTTCATTGAAACTTTAATGGGCTTAATGGAAGAAGTAGAATTTACATTTGAATTTTCATGATAGCAAACATAATGTTGACCAATGCGGATTCTGAATATTCCCTCTTCTGCAATTGCAATGTTACATATCTGACTTTGAGGCAAAGGCTGAGGCTGAGGTTGAGGCTGCGTGCACAATACTAAACACAGCAAGTAACCACAATACAGTATTAGTACTCAGTGATTGGGAGACAATAAATAAAATATAATTCTCATACATAACAAGTAGGACTAGAAATCCCCAGATTTCACAGATTAATATTGTGGCTGCTTTGGCCCTATTTTACAGCATGGGTCTGCAGGTGCCGCTGCAGTAGCTCTTGCTAATCTAGCCCTGATCCAGTGCACTCTGCATGTTCCTCTAGGATGGGGGATGACCAGACAGATCCCTTTAATGACAAGGCCCAAACCTTTTCTAAGCTGGTCCATCCATTATGTAAGTCACTGGTAACTCCCCCCTCAGGGAGTTGATAATCCAAGAGTAGCTCAAGAACAAGTAGTTAACACAGTAAGCACAGCATAAGCAGCAAGTAAAACAATCCACAAATATCCCATCACCTTTCCCAATAACTGGATGACACACAGTATCAGGAGCAGAACTGATGTTTAATGCCACATACATTGCTTTTATGCATCTCTCTCATGCAAGGGAGACACCCACAGAAGAATGTACATTAACCAATCATATACAGGTTACAGCCCACACATCTCCTCCCCTCAGCTTGAGAGACAATACAATTAACAGAACAGTTTCAACACACACTAATCCCAACCTTATTTCTCCCAGTGTTAAAAGGTATGATGTATGTGCGAATTTGGCCAAGTGTGAGGCTGCCTGAATGTGATGTGTGTGGAGTTGTCTGTGTGTGATTGTGTAAAAATACCCCACTCCTACTTATCTTTTTGCAAGGAGACGGATATAATTGCTGGTGGTCTACCATAGTGTGTTCCATGGTGGTCCCATCCTGTTGCTGACCACATCCCTACAATACAAGTACTATATCCATTACCGCTTGCTGTAGTGGTTATGGTACTAGGAGTGCCTGGCAACCCACCTTTTTAAGGAATAAGAAATCTTACCTGTGATTTGCCAGGCACAGATCTCCACCTTTACTACCATTTCTTTATAGCTTAAAGTTTCTATGTATGAACTTAAATAAGCTCTCTTGAGCTAAGGCCTACAATGCAGGCCTAAGCTGACTAGCTGAAAGGCGAGGAGAGGCATTCACTGAACCTCAAGTCAAAAGTCAAACAATCCACAAATGGCTGTAGTGGTTATAGTGATTGGGATGCACCTTAAATGCTTTTCTGGGGGCAATGCTTATTGAATGAGCACCAGCATTGCCATTGTAACCAGGCCGACCCCTTCTCCGATAGCATTGACTGCAAGGGAGCATTATTGCTGGAATGAACTGTTGAAACAGGAAGCCTAAGTAATTGTCTTATTATAATAGACAGGTGGTTATTCTGGCAATGTAGCACAGAAATTGCATGCTTAGGGTAGCCTCCAGCAGGCTTATACATGGATAACTCATAACTCACTGCAACTAGCAAGAGTCTAGCCACTCCATGTCTGCTCTCATGAATGGATTAAAAATGTTTGTGAATGCAGGACTGTAGTCAATCAGAATATGAACATCAATAATAGCTGTGTAATGTAAAAGTAAATGATGCTTTCACTTGGTATGCCAGAAACGTGTTTTCCATATTTGTTGTAATTGTAAATTACTTTTAAGATTCTTGCCTTTCTTGTGCATCAACCATTGCAGCCATGATGTGTGAAAGATTGATTGTGTTCAATCTTTTTCAACTTGCATTATGCTATTAGTTCTTACTTCTCTAATCATATGTTTTGATTGGATAAAATATGGAAAAATCATAATGGTACATTTTTACAGGACAAAGTTTAGATTTATATCTTACCTGATCTTTATTTTATGCGTCTTTCTATAGAATAAATCCAAACTTGCCAGTTTGGAAAATATACAAGCATTGGGAGAATATTTTATAGCAATGAAAATGCATTACAATAAGTGTCAAAATAAAAATTATATTACCTGTTTCATCATGTCCCATAGACACTTTAGTGTAATAATTTTGAACTGTGTACTGGGCAAGCTTTAACGTATTCATTCCACGAACAGAATCATTTCCTCTCATCCAGGTATATATAAGATCTTTGTTGCTGTATCCCACTAGAGATGAAATCGGTAGTATAAGCCATGGTATTGAAGTTTAGTTTGTCATGAAAAAGCAAGATATTGCTATTAGCAATTAACTAAGATATAATAAATCGGTGGTTGCAACAAAATCCTCAAGGCACACCAATAGTTCAGGAATTAGGTATTTCTTAGTTCTGTTTTTATAGAGTCATCCAGAAAAACAACTTAAATGGTCTACCTTGTATGAACAGGAAATCTATATGAAATCTATAGGAACAAAAGCATGTTAAGTCTAGGGCATGAGTCACGGGTTACACACTGGATGTTGAACTGCACACTCGTTATTGGTATGTTTCTTACACTATGTTTCTTACACTTTTTACCTATATAATAGTGGTTTATTGTATTACAATGTGATCTTGAGAAAGGCCTGAATGGGCCGAAACCTTGATCAGAAACTTGTGTAACTTTTTTGATAATTTATTAAACACTTTCTTGTTTACTGGAAGACCTCTGAGTAGCCTTTACATCAGGGGAGGGTAACCTTTGGCACATGTGCCATGCATGGCACTCTGGGTGATTTTCCACGACATTCAAGACTTCTAGAGCTAAACAGGCTCTGGCCTATCAGGAGTCCCTGTGGAACTTCACATATCTGTTCGTGCAAAAAGGTGGTGAGGGACAATCCTCAATGTATGCATTACAGCACTTATAGAAATTATCTTAGATCACTTCCTCCCAGAAATTTTGAACGGGAAACCACACTGGAATACAGCTGTCCACAGCAGCTATTGCAGCTCCTGCCTATAACCTGTATCTGGACAGTCCGGTCCTCAGTGGACCCAAGGAAGCCACCCACACTGCTAGATATGCACTGAGCTGTAGAATAAACCTCCCCTCACACAAATAATACAAACAAACCGCACACAAACACACACACAGTCCCCACAGACACACAACTGACAATCCACATACATGCACAGAACTCCACAAGTAGCCTCTCACATGCAATACCACAAGCAGCCCCACACATACACACCAAACACACTATGTGACAAATCGTCCACACACACAAGCATCCACCATACACATCACACAGTTATTATTATCGTACGCAATCCCACAAACTACTCATAAATATATATAATATAATAGCCCAGATACGTACAAATAGAACACTACAAAGCAACTACATACAGCACTCATAAATAACACAACATACATACCTCAAATTAAAGAAATAGGACCGGCACACCAAGGGGACTTCAAGATCTAATTCTGGCACAGTACTACTAAATGGTTGCCTACCCCTGCTTTAGATAGTCAACGCTGGTTTTTGGTATCTAGGCAGTGTCCATTTGTATTTCTCATACAGGGTGAGTGACATGTAATTTGGGATATATATATATATATATATATATATATCCAAGAGGGCTGCACTCACCTGAACATGCATACATTATAGGGTGCTGCTGGGGCCAATATATACAATATACAAATTACACAATCCAGCACACTCGCTTATTCACTAAACAATGATTTTTAAATCTTACAGATTGTAATTGCATTATTTAAAAACACCTCATCTAGGCAAAAATAATGGGGGTTTAGTTACATTATATGATCATATATTGCATAAGCCTGCCACAAGCTCAATGTACCCCATTCTTGGCAGGTCCTACTCTAGCAGCCTAATGCGTGCTCTTATGAGAATTTGGGAGTCCAGGCCAACTCTGTCACAGGTGCCTCATTCCAGGACCCTATTTAGCCTTGACTTGCAGAGAGTCCCAGTAAGGAAGTATTTCCCACGTAAGTTGATTAATCTCATAAAAGCAAGCATTAGGCTGCTAGAGTAGGACCTGCCAAGAATGGGGTACATTGACATTGTGGCAGGCTTATGCAATATATGATCAGGACTGAAGCAATGTCATATAATCAAGGTCATATGATCAACATGATTTAACACTTATAATAGCTGATGTTGTTAGAGAAGGGGTGCGGGCGAATGGTGAGTCATAAATAGCCAAAGACTTGCATAAGAGTTAAAGGGACACTCCAGGCACCCAGACCACTTCTGCCCATTGGAGTGGTCTGGGTGTCAACTCCCACTACTCTTAACCCTGCAAGTGTAATTATTGCAGTTTTTAATAAACTGCAAAAATTACATTGCAGGGTTAACTTCACCTCTAGTGGCTGTCTACTTCCTGAATCATAGCAAAGATTTTCTTTGCTAGAGCATCACTGGACGTCCTCACGCTGTGTGAAGACCTCCAGCATCGCTCAATTCCCCATAGGAAAGCATTGAAAATCTTTTTCAATGCTTTCCTATGGGGAGACCTAATGCGCGTGCACGGCATTGGCGGGCGTGCGCGGCATTGCCGTGCATGCGCATTAGGTTTCCTCAGCCGGCAGACGGGATCAGTCTCGCCCACCGGCTGACGTAATTACTGGGAGGAGCGACGCCGACCCGAAACCACCACCGAAGGACATCGGCAGGGTCTCAGGTAAGTGACCTGAAGGGGTTTTCACCCCTTCAGCTACCTGGGATGGGAGGTGGGATGGAGAGGGGACCTGCAGTGCCAGGAAAACAGATTGTTTTCCTGGCACTGGAGTTTTCCTTTAAATGTGCAGAGTGGTTGAGAATAGCCAGAACAAGTAAATAAACAGCAGAGAGAGAAGAGAGATAATAGGTACATAAAACAGCAGAGAAAGTGCAAGCTGTAACATTGTTTTGTAGTTTTGTAGCTTTCGCTAAATGTAATATTTGTTTCCTGCTTTTGTATTCTTTGAGTAAAATATTCTGTGGCAACAGCTGTTAGTAACTGGTAGTAATATGGCATAATGAGTGTAGCAGAGCGCTAGTTCCACATAGACTTTCTCCACTGATAATCCAAGAGTAGCTCAAGAACAAGTAGTTAACACAGTAAGCACAGCATAAGCAGCAAGTAAAACAATCCACAAATATCCTATCACCTTTCCCAATAACTGGATGACACACAGTATCAGGAGCAGAACTGATGTTTAATGCCACATACATTGCTTTTATGCATCTCTCTCATGCAAGGGAGACACCCACAGAAGAATGTACATTAACCAATCATATACAGGTTACAGCCCACGCATCTCCTCCCCTCAG